ATTAGCTGGGAGTGGTGGCGTGCACCTGTTGTCCCAGCTACTAGGGAGGCTGAGGCAGGAGAACTGCTTGAACTCAGGAGGCGGAGATTGCAGTGAGCCGAGATTGCGCCACTGTACTCCAGCCTGGCGCGTGGCAACAGAGCGAGACAGTCTTAAAAAAAAAAAGCATTTCTTGGAAGACTTTTAGTGGAAATGGCGTCCACAAGAATGTCAGGAGGGGAGCCCACGTCATCACTTGCAGAAATGATACCAGTCTGGCTTCTGTGGCCTTAATAATTTCCACTAGCATGAAAGGGGGTTTTGACTTAGTATAGTCTCAGATTAGAATCAAGACACAAGATGGGTAGGTGACCGGGGCAGAGCTTCACATTGATTTTCTTTTTCGTGAGTTGGGGAGCCCTTCACAGCACATGTTTAATCAGCACATGCTTAATCTGACAAGTAAACCCTCTTTTAAATCCTATGCAAACTGATGAGCTAGTGATTCAAGCAGGCTAGTCCAGTTAATTTGATTAATTAAAGAAATTAATTGTGGTTCCAAATGGAATTCACTTTCCCACATAAGAGACAACCAGCTGGTAGGGTAGAAACTGAATGACCACATATGCGCAGTCTATGATGACTAGGAGCAGATCATAAATCAACTAAATGATGATTTGATTCTAGTGGGAATAGAGTTTAATTTGACTTTTCACATATACTGGATGTTTACCCTGGACAAGGTGCTTTCATGTTGGTTTTATTGGTTTTTTCCCACATCAACGCTATGAGGTAAGTGCATAACCCTTATGGGAAACACTATAACATGGTGGTTAGCACAGACTCAGGGCTAGACTATTCATGTTCAAGTCCACATGCTGTGTAATCATGAGCAGGTTGCTTTTCTGTGCCTCAGTTTCCAAGTGGGTACTCTGAGGAATAAATGAATGAATGTGCATAAGGCACTTAGATGCTTAACACATAGTAAGCACTATATCAGCATTTAATATTATTATTATTATTTCACAGCTAGGGAATTCTTTTTTGGGACAGGGTCTCATTCTGCTGCCCAGGCTGGAGCGCAGTGGCATAATCACAGCTGACTGCAGCCTCAACCTCCTGGGCTCAACTGATCCTCCCACTTCAGCCTCCCAAGTAGCTGAGTGGAAGGTTCACTTGAGCCCAGGTGGGTGCCACCACATCCAGCTAGTGTTTTATTTTTTATAGAGACAGTGAGTGTCTCACCATGTTGCACAGGCTGGTCCTGAACTCCTGGGCTCAAGCAATCCTCCCACTTTGGCCTCTCAAAGTGCCTGGGATTAAAGGCGTGAGCCACCAGCACCCAGACAGGTGTTGGTAATTCTTTAAAAACACACTTTTTCAACTACACAATTTTGTCATCCATCTGTCCTTAGTTTTTTATTAACAAGTCAATTCACTCGCTGTTTGTTTGTTTTGAGACACAGTCTCGCTCTGTTGCCCAGGCTGGAGTTCAATGGTGTGATCTCGGCTCATTGCAACCTCCGCCTCCCAGGTTCAAGCGATTCTCCTGCCTCAGCCTCCTGAGTAGGTGGGATTACAGGCAAGCACCACCATGCCTTAATTTTTGTATTTTTAGTAGAGATGGGGTTTCACTATGTTGGTCAGGTTGGTCTCGAACTCCTGACCTCATGATCTGCCCGCCTTGGCCTCCCAAGGTGCTGGAATTACAGGTGTGAGCCACCGTGCCTGGCCAATTCACTCATGTTTTAGGTCTTCTGTGTTAACAGTAGAAGGATGACAAATATTCATTAATTCATATTTAAGTATTTAGCTTTAACATTTTGTATGTATTTATATGTTGTATATTTTTAAAAATGCTTTATTGTGACATTAACTTTTCACATAATTGAAAACATAACTCAATAATCACTTTATAGCTAAGTAACTGAACTATGTGCCAGTATTGAGATTCTGGGCTTTTAAAAGTGAGGATTGCACTCAAAGGCCCCTATCCAATCTACTCTGACTAGCTAGCCCAAGGACAGATGTGATGCTATATTGCTCAGCTTTTGTTATAGATGGAAGATTCACTGAAGCTGCAGAACAACCTTGTAAGCATAAGTAAGCAGACAGCTGTGAGGGTTTTTTTGATGTTACCATAAATCAGAAATGCACCACAGTGAGTGCAGATGTTTACCACGATAAAGACAAAACACAAAATAGCAGCATAAAAATAAGTAGGAAATGGCAGCCTCACATTGCCCCTGACAACATAGTTGGAATCATTCATGATGTCCCGAGCCAATCCAAAGTCACATATCTTCACCACTTTCCCGTGGGTGACAAGCACGTTCCTGGCGGCCAGGTCTCTGTGAATACACTGTCAAAAATGATACCAGAGTGTTATCTACTGTGATGTACATTATCCTGGAGTGCAAGCTTTCTTCTAGGCTCATGTTCAATAAGATGGAAGGTCTCTTATCTTTAATAGGCCGTGGGCGGTCATGATGATGTGTAGCAAACAAAGGGAACACAGGTGACCCAATTCTGCACCTATGGTGGCTGTAGTTATTTGTGCTCCTTCTGAAGCATCCCCAAAGGCCAAAGAGGAGTGGATCTTTTGCAGATCCCGGGCATAAGTAAGAGGCTCCCCAACAGGGCTCACCCCCTGCCCCCAAGCCTCCAGAGGGAATCTCAGAGGCTGTCCTCCAGCACTTTTCTTGTGGGTGTGAGAAATAGCAACTGTCTTCTGACTGGAAAAGCACTTTAGGAATAAAATGGAGTAATATCGAAGGAAATAGTCAGAATTACAAAAAGCTAAAAATGAGTTTGGAGAGGTTCACTGAAGTGGAATTAGAAGGAGTCCCTGAGCTGAGAGATGTCAGGACGTTAATCCAAGTGGTCTGGCAAGAAAATGAATTTTACAAAGAAAGATCGGAAGCGGAGCAGGGCATTAGCAGCAAAGGTTCAATGAACACTCTTTCATCTTTGAAAAATAAAAGAAAAAGTAAATAAAAATAATAAATAAATAAACGAAACACGAACAGCCCGGTGCCACAGCCCCTCTAGAGCTCCCTCCTCCATACCCAGTTTTTTCAGTGCCATCTACTTGCACTTTGCACACTTGACCCCCAGCTCTGCAACCCGCCTCCTCCTCCTGCCTGTGTGCCCAAGCTGCTCTGGCCAAGACCCGCACTGACTGGCACAGCACCCAGTCTGGATCTGACAGGACCTCTCTGTGGCATCTGGTGCTGTTGGCCAGCCCCTCCTGCTTCTGCTCCTTCCTTCTGGGCACGCTGCACACGGCTTACTCCTGCTTTCTTCCCACTGCTCTGCCTGCTCCCGTCACCCTTAGGGGCTTTGTGCATGAGCCTGTTCTCATGGCTGAGGGCATCCTTGCATCCCACACCCTCATTCAAGCCATTTCATCCAAACCTAGGAATGCAACTACCATCACCCACATCCCTATTTCCAACCCAAACATTTCTCCCGAGCTTCAGGCAGGAGTGTCCAGGTGTCTGCTAGACCAAGCCCTACTTGGTTGCCCCAGGCACGCACCTCACATTCAGTATGTCCAACTCATTACCTTTATCCAAAAAGAACTGCTGATTCCATGCTCCCTATCCTATCTCACATTCCCTGCTGGTTTTCCTTTTCCTTCAAAAATCTCCATCAGTCTGAGCATGAAGCACGTGCTCCTTCAGAAAGCCTCTTCCACTCCATCTCCCCCTCCCCCAGCCAGGTCTGCTGTATAGGTCCCTCCCCTGGGTTCCCAGAACTTACTTCAATTATAGCACTTCATCTTTTTTTTTTTTAATTTGTTTTATTTTTCGAGACAGACTCACTCTGTCGCCCAGGCTGGAGTGCAGTGGTGCAATCTCAGCTCACTGCAACCTCTGCTTCCCAGTTCAAGTGATTCTTGGGCCTCAGCCTGCTAAGTAGCTGGGATTATAGGCGTGCACCACCGTGCTCAGCTATTTTTTGTATTCTTAGTAGAGATGGGGTTTCGCCATGCTGGCCAGGCTGGTCTTGAACACTTGGCCTCAAGCAAGCCACCTCTCGACCTCCCAAAGTGCTGGGATTCCAGGCGTGAGTACTGGGCCGGGCCACAGTGTCATCTCTGACCTGCCTGTCTGCTTGGCTCTGTCTCCTCCATCGCTCATAAGACCTTGGAGCCCAGGAGTCACGTCATAACTGATTCTGTATCTCCAGCATCTAGTGCAGTGCTTGACACATAGTTTGGGCTCAACAAATGTCTGATAAAGTCAAGGGCTACACAGGAAATTGAGGGGTGCCCAGAGGAGTATCGGGGGGAGGTGTGAGAGACAAGCAGCGGACAGTGACACACATGATTCAAAGGGGAGGCCTCATGTGAAGATAAAAGGGTAGAGGGCTTAAGGAACTAGATGTTCTGGCCGGGTGCGGTGGCTCACACCTGTAATCCCAGCACTTTGGGAGGCCAAGGCAGGCGGATCACCTGAGGTCAGAAGTTCGAGACCAGCCTGGCCAATATGGTGAAACCCCGCCTCTACTAAAAATACAAAGATGAGCTGGGCATGGTGGCAGGTGCCTGTAATCCCAGCTACTGGGGAGGCTGAGGCAGGAAAATTGCTTGAACCCAGGAGGCAGAGGTTACAGTGAGGCAAGATCACACCATTGCACTCCAGCCTGCTGCACAAGAGGGAGACTGAGTCTTAAAAAAAAAAAAGATACTGGATGTTTTTCAAAAATTCATATTATTACAAGCCTGAGGTTGAAGGGAACCAGCGCCCCTTGACTGCCAGTTGGGAGTACTTTGAGTATTTACCTAACTATGGGCAGTAAACCAGGCCACACAATCTAAGTAGGTGCTCTCCCACATCTATAAAGCTGTTTGTGGGCCAGGCGTGGTGGCTCACACCTGTAATCCCAGCACTTTGGGAGGCTGAGGTGGGCAAATCACTTGAGGTCAGGAGTTAGAGACCAGTCTGGCCAACATAGTGAAACCTTGTCCCTGCAAAAATACAAAAAATCAGCCAGGTGTAGCCGTGCACACCTGCAATCCCAGCTACTTGGGAAGCTAGGGCAGGAGGATCGCTTGACCTGGGAGGCAGAGGTTGCAGTGAGCTGAGATCATGTCACTGCACTCCAGCCTGGGCAACAGAACAAGACATCATCTCAAAAAATTAATAATAAAAAGAGGCTTGTGAAAGCAGGATTGCACATGTAGATGTGTAAGTGAAAGAGATAAAGACTCAGGTGGGCAAGATGCATGAAAAAGAAGAATCCAAACAGCAGGTGGGGGGAGATGAAGAGAAGAATGTGCCTCTCAGTTGAGAAGTGAGGAAATATTATTGTGACAGTATTTTTTATAACTTGTATTATTTTCGGCCGGGTGTGGTGGCTCACGCCTGTAATCCAAGCACTTTGGAGGCCAAGGCGGGTGGATCACCTGAGGTCAGGAGTTTAAGAACAGCCTGACCAACATGGTGAAACCCCGTCTTTATTTAAAAAAAAAAAAAAATTAGAGAAAAAAAAAACTTGCATTGTTATCACTTTTAAGGTGATTTCGTTACTATTTTGAATAGACAGCCTAGAGTGCAGTGGTATAGTCATAGCTCACTGCAGCCTGGAACTCCTGGGCTTCCCTCCAAAAGCACTGGGCTTACAGATGTGCACCACTGTGCCCAGCCTGTTTTTTATTTTTTAGAGAAAGGGTCTTGCTCTGTCACCCAGATGGAGTGCAGTGGTGCAGTCCTAGCTCACTGCAACTTCCAACTCCTGGGCTCAAGCAATCCTCCCACCTTGGCCTCCCAAGTCAGTGGAACTACAGACACACACCATGAATGTCTGGTTGAGACAGTAATTTTTTAAAGAAAAAATAAAATACAGGCCGGGTGCAATGGCTCAAACCTATAATCCTAGCACTTTGGGAGGCCGAGGTGGGCTAATTGCTTGAGCTAGGAGTTCGAGACCTGCCTGGACAACATGGTGAAACCCCATCTCTACTAAAATACAAAAAATTAGCCAGGCATGTTGTTGCATACCTGTAGTCCCAGCTACTCGGGAGGCTGAGGCATGAGAATTGCTTGAACCCAGGAGGCGGAGATTGTAGTGAGCAGAGATCGTACCACTGCACTCCAGCTTGGATGACAGAGCGAAACTCTGTCTCCAAAAAAAAAAAAAAAAGAAAAGAAAAAACAAAATACAATTGAAAAGTAGTCTTTCCAAATTCAGAGAGCAAAGAGGAGACAAGAGGCAAACGGAAGGAAGTGGAGGAGAGCAGGAGAAGGAGATTAGAAGACTGTAAGAAAAATGAGAGGGAAGAATTTTGGAAAATAAAGAGAAGTTATAATGAAAGGCAAGCAAACGAGGAAGGAAGGGAACCAGATGGCCGGCTGTGATCTGCTTATAGGCAGCAGACGTTTGAAATCACAGAGAACAGCGAGCAGAAAGGTAGTTCAGAAAGAACACAGAATTGGGGCAGAGGCCATGGTTCAAGGAGGGCTCCAGGGCCTTATCAACACAGCCCGGATGGATCTGGGGTTAGCAACAGAGGAGGCAGTGAGGGAGCCTGCAGGCCGCCGCCAGCCCACAGCACATAGGGTGCGGATTAGACAAAGACACTCAGGGTGGCTGGCTGGGTTTCAGCCTCCACTCCTCCCCTGGGTGAATGCCCACATGCAGGACACAGCCTGAACTGCGGTTCAGAAAGGGACTGACAATGCTACGCTTTGTTTTGAGGAAGGATTTCTGAGGACTTCCTATGTCGACCCTCAGTGCTGGAAGCGTCAGGGGACTCTGTGTAGCCTGGGAGAGCTGTGCTGGCTGTGACCGCGCAAGGGATCCCAAGCCATTATGCTACAATTAGCCAAAAGCCAAAGTTAACATTTTAGGTGGCTCCAACAGCAAACGGGGAGAAAAGACAGACTTTAAGGGATACAAGTTAAAATAAACAAGAAAAAAATACATAAGCATATCTTTTCAAATCTTTTTTTGGTTTGTTTTTTTCTTTAAAAGGAGCTTACCGACTTAAATTCCAGAAATTCCATTCCTTTGGCAACTTGATATGCAAAGCAAAGAAGGTCTTCAAATGTAAGCACATTTAAGTCCTCCTCTTCTTCCAGCCTTTTTTGGTTTTCATATTCAATTTCATCTGTAAAATAGAGCCAGTCTTCACTTTTGCCAAAACTCTAAGAAGTTGCCTTATTAATTCTCTCGGGAGATTATTCAAGCCACAGTTAGGGGAGGTGCTGAGGCGTACACATGAAGCTATGGCATTATCTCCCCTGCAGTTGTAGCTGACCTGTTTATGCTGCCTACAAAGGGTCACTGGAAGCTTGTTTTGGTTAGAGATAAACTTTGGAACTGCTCTGATGGCTGATGAGCTCCTGATTGATTAGTCAGGAGTTTTAGATACCTCTCCTCTGCACTAGGTAGGACTGTCACACTGGGAAAATAATTAATATTAATTGAGTGTCTATCCCATTTTATAAACTGTATTTCTGTCTATCCCATTTTATAAACTGTGCATTTCATATTCTTCCATTTACTCCCCCTTTTTTTTTGAGTTGAAGTCTCACTCTGTCGCCCAGGCCGGAATGCAGTGGTGCAATCTCGGCTCCCTGCAACCTCCACCCCCTGGGTTCAAGCGATCCTCCTGCCTCAGCCTCCTGAGTAGCTGGGATTACAGGCATGTGCCACCAAGCCCAGCCAATTTTTCTGTTTTTAGTAGATACAGGGTTTCGCCATGTTGGCCAGGCTAGTCTTGAACTTCTAACCTCAGGTGATCTGCCTGCCTCGGTCTCCCAAAGTGCTAGGATTACAGGCATGAGCCACTGCACCCAGCTCCTCATTTACTCCTTCTAACAGTCCTGTCAGGAAGGTAGTGTTAGGCCTATTTTATAAATTAAAAAATTGTGATTCTGGTGGTCACATAACTTGTCCAAAGTCATCCAGTCAGAAAGCGAAGTAAGCAGAAGTTAATCCAAATTCTTTTTTTTTTTTTTTTTTTTTTTTTTTTTTTTTTTTTTTTTTTTTTTTTTAGACAGGCTTTCTCTCTTGTCACCCAGGCTGGAGTGCAGTGGTGCAATCTCGGCTCACCGCAACCTCTGCCTCCCAGGTTCAAGCGATTCTCCTGCCTCAGCCTCCCGAGTAGCTGGGATTATAGGCATGCACCACCACGCCCAGCTAATTTTGTATTTTTAGTAGAGACAGGGTTTCTCCATGTTGTTCAGGTTGATCTCAAACTCCCAACCTCAGGTGATCCGCCTGCCTTGACGTCCCAAAGTGCTGGGATTACAGGCGTGAACAACCTTGGCCAGTTTAGTTAATCCAAATTTTATATAACTTCAGAGCTCATTATCTCTTCCATTTATCAGGTAATAAGAAGGCTCTAATTAATATATGACTTTAAATGAATAACCTGACCAAATAAAATAGTCCTCAGTGTTTATTAGTTCAATGTTGACTTAAAATCTTCAACATACAAACTGTGGCTGTTAGCTATCCTCTGACATGAACAAATTTTTTTTTTTCCAGCTTGGTGGTTGCTTCTTTATTGATGTGCCTCCTACCTTCCCCCGACAATTTCAGTCCCTTCCAACTACCCCCAAAAAAGAAGATAGTGAAAGGAAGATATTGCTGGGGTTCTGAGCCCCTTGGGCAGTCAGAAAGGGAACAGAAACCAAAACAATCACTAGATGTGACAGAGACTGACAATCAAGAGTCTAAAGCAGAATGGGAAAGGTGGGCAGAGAAAGGGGAAGAAAGGAGAAGGGAGAGGTAGAAGATGCCAGCTCCACCATTACCCCTCCTAAGAGAGGCTGGAGAGAAAGCCTCAAAAGTTAAGAAGTGCCGGTCCTGAATAAGGGAGGTGGTATTTGAGCTTGAAGGAGGAGGAAGTCAAGAAAGGGAGGCCACCTCTCTCTTTGTAGAATGAGAGCCCCCTCCAGCTCAGGGGCAGCGGCTTCACGGACCGTAGGCACTTTCGTCACTATAAGCAATGTACAGAAAGAAGTCTTCTTCATGGTGTTCCTAGTAAAGTTGACCCACTGTGGCACTGGTGGGTGGAATGACATTGTTGACAAAGAAAAACAAGGCATCCTCAGCTCGGAGATGAATTCGCTTCCGGATCAAGAAGCAGAACTGACCAACTGTGAGATCAGAAGGCACCAGGTATTTCTTTTTGTCCAGGTCTCCTATCCGAGCTTTGGGAGCCTCTTCTATCACCGGCACGCGGTCCGGGTATTTCTTTCGGATCTTCTCGCCCTCAGAGCGGCGCTTCTCGAACGGATGCTCTTCTTTGTACACGAACTTCATCCTCCCGGGAACCGGGCTGGACCAGGCTGGGCTGAGGGAACCCGGGGGGCCGGTTGGTGGGCGGCGGCGACAGCCGACATGAACAAATTTTAAAATGCTTTTGTGTTACACACTTTAAAAAAATAGCTAACATAAAACTTTGGCATTCATTTCCATTCTAAAGTGCTGCTACTTAGAATAAAATATTACCTTCAGAGTGAAATGAATTCCCATGAAGCCCTGAGATCGGATCCGAGTCCTGGTGTATTTGAACTTCTCTTGAACCAGGCATGCTGTTAAAAAAAAATTGTTTTTTCATTATTTACATTCTTCTTCTCAGCAGATATTTTATTTTAAAAATATAATTCATCAAATAAATGGATTCCAGTTATAAACTGACTTTTAAATTAAAAGCACACCATCCATTTGTCTACTTGTTGTGTATATTAAAAACATCTGTATAATTGGGATTGCCAGTCTAAGACAAAAGTAATCCTTGTTTTCCGTATAGAATCTTACAGTTCAAAAAGGACCTCAATCAATCCTTGCCACAACCTACAAGATGGGTGTTAAAGTCACACTTTATAAAAGAGAAATTGGGCGCAGTGAGATAAATATGATTTGAGTGGAACCAGGACTCACATCGATCTCATTCTTTGGTTTCTGAACTCAGCCCACTTTCCCTCACATAATACAGATCTTCCCGGGAGTCCTGTCGACATTTTGCCATCCTTCTTTTTTCCATTTTGCCTTTGTAAGGCTCATTTCCTTTTACTGTGAAATTAATAATTAGCAATAATACAAATCTCTTTTAAGGTATATAAAAATTCTTCCCTGAGGAGTTCTGTATGTATTATAACTAGATCATGATTCAATTTATTCCAATATACGAGTTTAACCCAATTCACAATTTACATATCTTTAGGAAATGGCTTCATGCCTTCAGACCATAGATATTCCAAAAGGAATAATTTCGATATATTTAATATTCCAGTGAACAGAATGAATCCAAAGGGCCAAGTACTGACCAGTAGGTGCTGGTCACACACATCTGACTCAGTAGGGTAGCTCCTCTGTTCCAGAATGTGGGTGGCTTTATAGAGTTCTCATTTCTAAACGATGATCTGAGAAATGAGTGCAAAGGGGGGGACTGGTGTGACGGGCACACACAGGTTAAGGGCAACTGCACGTGGGCATGCATGGGGATCTCCGGGGGGCCTGGTGGCTTTAAGACACTGGGTCTCTGTCTCAGACCTTGAAGCCCAGAGGTCTGCACTAAAACTTACATTTTAAGAAAACAAAGCTGGGACTGTCAAATGCATCCCTAAAAAGCCCTGGTAAGGAAAAAAGTCTCCAACAAACAAATACACCTTCAGAATAAGGGAAAGCTTCCACACAAGCAGGGAAATAGGAATGCGCCAACGCTTGGCCAGGTGCGGTGGCTCACACCTGTAATCTGAGAACTTTGGGAGGCCGAGGCAGGTGGATCATCTGAGGTCAGGAGTTCAACACCAGCCTGACCAACATGGTGAAACCCCATCTCTACTAAAAATACAAAACTTAGCTGGGCATGGTGGCATATGCCTGTAATCTTAGCTACTCAGGAGGCTGAGGCAGAAGAATCACTTGAACCCAGGAGGCAGAGTTTGCAGTGAGCCAAGATCGTGCCATTGGACTCCAGCCTGGGCAACAGAGCAAAACTCTGTCTCAAAAAAAAAAGAATGCTTCCATCAGAATGTCTGTGAATCAATTCAGAGAAAGGTGCTACAAAGCCATCATGCTCAGGCCCAGTGTGGTGGCTCACGCCGGTAATCTCAGCACTTTGGGAGGCTGAGGCAGGCGGATCACCTGAGATTGGGAGTTCGAGACCAGCCTGGCCAACATAGTGAAACCCTGTCTCTACTAAAGATACAAAAATTAACCAGGCGTGGTGGCACATGCCTGTAATCCCAGCTACTCAGGAGGCTGAGGCAGGAGAATTGCTTGAACCCAGGAGGTGGAGGTTGCAGTGAGTGGAGACCATGTCACTGCACTCCAGCCTGGGCAACAAATTGCAAAACTCATTAAAAAAAAAAAAGCCATCACATCCAAGTAATTAGTAAGAAAGTTCAAGGATGACGAGGAGATCCCAGCAAACTCCTACAGCCCTCATTTATGCACGCTAAAGCAATAAATCCCTGCAGAACCAAGCGTCTCTCAGGGTCCCCACAGATGCGGAGGATAAATGCAGAGCACAGAGACAGAGTTACTTTACTGTGTCAATCAATTCATCCTAATATTTTAGAATCCAACTTGAGTTCAGTGTTCTTTTGCACAGTAGTCCCAGGACCTAAGCTATTCTCTTTGAATATGTTAAGGACTTTGGGAAAAGTCTTCATTCTTTCTACCAATACCTGTGTGGCAACCAGGTATCCTGAAAGACTGAGTCATGCACCTTTCCCCAAACCATATAGGTATGTAGGGTGCGATGCAGGCATGGGTGGAGAGAGGTTAGCTTAGCCATAGTAACTGTATCGAAGGAAAGGGATGGGGCTCATTGTTCCATGTCAACAGGGAAACTATAGCAAAGATTTAGGAAATCTCTAGGTTGCAGGGCCCACAGACCACACAATGCCTTTAGAAACTGGTCAACGAAGTACGTTTGAACAGCACACTTTGTCTACATTGTATGATGTGTAATTATGAAACCCTGACCCAGCCTCTTACCTGGAATTCGGATGTGATTGGAAAGAGGGGTAAAAACTGAAATTATGTTCCTTGAAAATCTCTGTCCAAGTCCTGTGAAATTTTTCTCTTTTACTTCTTAGATAGTTGAGAAGATCACCATAGCAACAATATTCAAAAATCAAGTAAATTGGTCCTGAAATAGTTACAGTTTCAATTATAGGCATATAAACAGCACACTGCTATTTCAGAAGTCTATGTAGCAGACAACATACTCTTATGAGGGCTCAGTTCTCTACCAACTTGAGGACAGTACAACTTTTACTGAGCCTATCTCTTCTTATATTTTATTTTATTTATTTATTTTTTAAGATGGGGTTTCACCCTGATGGCCAGGCTGGTCTTGAACTCCTGACCTCAGGTGATCCACCTACCTTGGTCTCCCAAAGTGCTAGGATTACAGGCATGAGCCACTGTGCCCAGCCTATACTTTATTTTTTAATTTTAATTTAATTTAATTTAATTTTGAGATGGAGTCTTGCTCTGTCTCCCAGGCTGGAGTGCAGTGGCACAATCTTGGCTCACTGCAACCTCCACTTCCTGGGTTTAAGCAATTCTCCTGCCTCAGCCTCCTGAGTAGCTGGGACTACAGGCACCCGCCACCAAGCCCGACTAATTTTTTGTAATTTTAGTAGAGACGGGGTTTCACCATGTTAGCCAGGATGGTCACGATCTCCTGACCTCGTGATCCACCTGCCTCAGCCTCCCAAAGTTCTGGGATTACAGGTGTGAGCCACCACACCTGGCCTCTTCTTATACTTTAAATTCAGTTTCAGCTTTTGCTCAAATTCCTTCTGAAAGCAGCATCTTCTTGACTTTCTCTGTGGCCTTTGTCTATACACGTGCCCTCACCAATACCATTGGCCTCTTGGATTCTCCAGTTTGCAACTGGAAGTAATGTGTTTGCTGTGTATTATAGGCGAACAGTTGGTAACTATATGCTGATTTGCCGTTTGCTTGAGGAGGGAGAAATATATTCCCAGTCCTCTCTCAGGTTCACTTTCCTCTTTTTCCCTTCTTTTAGTCCCAGCCACAGGCCTGCCACTGCAGAAAGAATGAACCTTGGGCACATCATTTGGGTATTTCTAGGCAGAAGAGAGAGGATTAGAGGGCATGCCACACAGAGAAGTCTGGTATCCTAGCTGTGCCTTATTTGGCAGCAGCCCAACTAGAGCAGTAGCCAGGCTCTGTAGCCATTCTCACCACGCCTGTGCGCCAGCTTCCGAGCTGGGGGAGAAGCACAGACACCACTAGATCTACTTGCAACGTTGTTGTTCTTGTTTTTAAGCAGGTGAGAATTATGTGTTATATTCCCATAAAGCAGGTGAATGAGGCATTCTTTATTTTGACGCCTCTGATTTATAGAGTGCTCAATGTCTATTTCCTCTTGGGTTTGACAGCTCACACTGTGACTGAGAAAAGACAAAAAATTTAAAAAGAGAGAGAGAGAGAACAAACATCCTCTGTCATCAGGCTACAGTCTTTTTGATGAGATTTTCGTGGAAGTGGGTTACCTGACAGCGTGCATGCTCCCAGCAGATTCACAATATTCTCATGGCTTCCAAGCTGGGTCATCATCTTGAGTTCTGACATGAGTGCCTCTCTTTCAGAGCTGTCTGCTTTTTCTGTCAAAGAAAGGAACATTAAAAACATAAAACTCGGCCAGGCGCAGTGGCTCACGCTTGTAATCCTAACACTTTGGGAGGCCAAGGTGGGTGGATCACCTGAGGTCAGGAGTTCAAGACCAGCCTGGCCATCATGGTGAAACCCCCATCTTAAAAAAAAAGAGAAAAAAAAAACAAAACAAAAACATAAAACTCAAGTAAAAAGGCATTTTATGTCATTAAATAAATCAAAAATTTTCTCAGCTCGGAGTCAATCTGCATTATTTATTTAAATTCAAAATTATGAGAGAGGCCAGGTGGGGTGGTTCATGCCTATAATCCCAGCACTTTGGGAGGCTGAGGTGGGTGGATCACTTGAGGTCAGGAGTTCAAGACCAGCCTGATCAACATGGTAAAACCTTATTGCTACTAAAAATACAAAAATTAGCCAGGCATGGAGACAGGTGCTTGTAATCCCAGCTACTTGAGAGGCTGAGGCAGGAGAATCGCTTGAACCCGGGAGGCAGAGGTTGCAGTGAGCCAAGATCGCACCATTGCACTCCAGCCTGGGCGACAATAGCAAAACTCCATCTCTAAATAAATAAATAAATAAATAAACAATATCCTCTGTTTTAAGACAGAATTTCTCTTCTTTTTCTTTCCTTTCTTTCTTTTTCTTTCTTTCTTTTTTTTTTTTGACACAAGGTCTCACTCTGTCACCCAGGCCGGAGTGCAGTGGCACGACTTGGCTTACTGCAGACTCTGCCTCCTGGGCTCAAGTGATCCTCCTACCTCAGCCCTCCAAGTAACTGGGACTACAAGCGCAGGCCCGCGCCTGGTTAATTTTTGTTTTTTGTAGAGATGGGGGGTCTCACCATGTTCCCCAGGCTGGTCTCGAACTCTTGGGCTCAAGCAATCCGCCCACCTCCACCTCCCAAAGTGCCAGGAATACAGGTATGAGCCACCGTGCACAGCCTAAGGCAGAATTCATACTGTAGTACAGGGTCGGGCATGGTGGCTCACACCTGTAATACCAACACTTTCAGAGGCCAAATGTGACTGAGAAAAGACAAAGAAGTTAAAAGAGAGAGAGAGAGAGAACAAACACCCTCTGTCATCAGACTACAGTCTTTCTGATGAGTAATCCAATGTGGGTGGCTTACTTGAGGTCAGAAGTTCGAGACCAACCTGACCAACATGGTGAAACTCCATCTCTACTAAAAATACAAAAAATTAGCTGGGCGTGCCAGCATGTGCCTGTAATTCGAGCTACTCAAGAGGCTAAGGCAGGAGAATTGCTCAAACCCGGGAGGCAAAGGTTGCAGTGAGCCAAGATCGAGTCCCTGCACCACTTCAGCCTGGGTGACAGAGTGAGACCCTGTTTCAAAAAAACCAAACCAAACCAAAGACTATAGCATAAATGTTGAATGTAGTAATGTGCCTTTCCACCGGACTTTCGTCTACCTACCATAATAAAAATCCTTACAGTTGGCCTCAAAAGAAACAAACAAAACAATAACACATGCTTTTCCTCCACAGTACAAGTTAACAGAAAGGGGAAGCATACTTTTTTTGTTGTTTGCAGTCTTGGATCTGTTGTAGTCAGAGAGAGATAAGATAGCGGTGTCAGTGAGAGTGGTTGACTCTAGCCCGCGGCCCTCAGGTCTAGAACGTTAGATTTGCCAGCAAGTCCAATGGGAGGCAGTCAAAGAGGACTAATTCCCACTACCAAGTGCTCAGCAGACCCATCAATTGACATTGAGTAATATAACTGCCAAGCAGGCTAAAACATATTGGTTGGCCAATGCATTCTCTCTCTAGAGAAAATTCTAGAAAGCTCGGCAAACTGTACTCATAACCTGGCTTAGGAGCACAGCGTAAGGAAGGTCACTGTGGAATCCCAGGGCTCCTGTCATTGCTGCTGATGTACAGCTGGTCAGGGCAGCCCGGGCAGCCACAGGGGCAAGGGCAAGGTCTCTGGACTTCCCTCTCCAGGCTCCAGGAACCACCCCTCTGTGAACAGATTTCTTCTTCCAGACATAGTAACTTTTCTTTTCATTCAGTGAAGATTTGATTCGATTTCCAGATTCCATTATTTTGTCCAGGAAGACATTCTAACCTTTACAGTGGCTTCTTCTGTGTGGACATCCTCTATTTCATCTTGGGCAAGCTCTCGGGGATATTCTTGTTTCCAAGATTTTGGCTTGGGGGTGGGATTTCCTGTGGGCACTGGGACCCCCAGTACATCCTGTCTACAGCTTCATGCTGGACAGGGATTCAGGGCTTTCACTTGTTCATGTCCTATTCCTCATGGCTAAAATAGTATCTTACACTTTTTGGCATGCTTTGCTGCTTCTAAACACTTTCATATACCATTGCCTCTTTCATTCAGTCATTCAACAAGTATTTATTGAGTTCTTACTGTGTATGAGGCAATGTCCTAGACATTGGGGAATGAAAGATAAACAAGACACAGCCCTTGTCTTCCTGGAGTTTGGAGTCTCCTGGAGAAGGGAGGGAAGTAACTAAGCCATTAGAACACAATGCCGTAAATGCAATGTGGCAGGCAAGCACGCAGGTCCTCACGCCTGCACTCCCAACAGCTTGGGAGGCCGAGGCAGTCAGAACAATTGCTGGAGCCCAAGAGTTCAGGACCAGCCTGGGTAAAATAGCAAGACCTCATCTCTACTTAAAAATAAAATAGGCCGGGCATAGTGGATTATGCCTGTAATCCCAGCAATTTGGGAGGCCGAGGTGGGCGCATCACTTGAGATCAGGAGTTTGAGACCAGCCTGGCCAACATGGTGAAACCCCATCTCTACAAAAAAAAATAATAATAATTAAAAATAATAAAATAAAATAAGACTGGGCACAGTGGCTCACACCTGATTACACCCAGCACTTTGGGAGACTGAGATGGGCAGATTGCCTGAGGTCAAAGAGTTCGAGACCAGCCTAACCAATGTGGTGAAGCTCGGTCTCTACTAAAAATACAAATTGAGCTGGGCGTGGAGGCACATCCTTGTAATCCCAGCTACTTGGGACGCTGAGGCAGGAGAATCGCTTGAACTCGGGAGGTGGAGGTTACAGTGAGCTGAGATGGCGCCATTGCACTCCACTTTGGGCAGCAAGAGCAAAACTCCATCTCAAAAAATAAAATAAAATAAAAATTAATTAATTAAATAAAATAAAAATTAGCTGCGCCTGATGGTGCATGCATGTAGTTCCAGCTACTGGAAAGGCTGAGGACAGTTGATCACTTCAGCCCAGGACTTCGAGCTTGCAGTGAGCTATGATCACTCCACTGCACTCCAGCCTGGGTGACAGAGTGAGACTGTATCTCAAAAAAAAAAAAAAGAAAAGAAAAATAAAAAATGCAACGTGGCAAAGGCATGCAGGGGGGCTATAGGGTCAAAAGGGACAGCTACCTTAGCCTTGGAGGAGTAGCGAAAGGAGCATTCCACGTCTAAACTGAGTCCTGAAGAGAAATGGGAGCTGGCCAGGTGATTCGGGTGGACGGGGAGGAGAATGGTACAGACAGTTGTGAAAGAGTGGGCAAAAGTCAAGAAAGGAGAGAGCACAGCGCCACAGACACAGACCCTGCCCTCATGAGGCACAGCGGCTACTGGACAAATAGGGCAGCAACTGTATATTAAACACAGATGTCATGACAATGATGGGGAAAGCCTGCAGAGAGCTGATGTTGCACATTGCAAGGGCCTCAATCTTGTCTGCGGTGTGAGACAAGGCTTCCCAGAAGAAGTGGTGTTTAAGCTGAGGAGAGCAGCGGGAGATACCTGCGTGAAAGGGGAAGCAGAAGCAGGAAGATGCACTTGTGCAAAGGCCCCACAATGGGTGGGAGGACGGTGCTGGGGGAACTGAAAGAAGGCCAGCACTCTGGGGAGCGGAGAGCAAGAGGTGGGGAGGCGGCAGCGGCGCAGTCATGAGGGTGGTGGAGGAAATGCGAAGTAGGAAAGCCATCTGATCTGCTTAGCCTTTAGTCACTGTCACTTGGACCTCAGCGTGAAGTAGCCAATGGGAGGCAAGAGTGGATACAGAGAACCTGCTTTGGAAGCTTTAGTCCAGGAGAGAGCTTTGAACTAGGGTGGTGGTAATAGAGACGGAGGGACGAGGACAGATTTGAGAGACACTAAGCAGAAACCTGATAGAATTAGCTCACAGGGTGTTAGAAAGAGGATGATGTCAAAGAAAAGTCACGGGCTTCTGGCGTGTCCAACTATATGGAACGTGGTTATTCACTGGCACTCATTACCAGTCACAGAGAGGACTCCTGGTGCAGGGCCAGCATTTGAGATGGAGTCTCGCTCTGTCGCCCAGGCTGGAGGGCAGTGGCGATCTCGGCTCACTGTAACCTCTGCCTCCAGGGTTCAAGCGATGCTCCTGCCTCAGCCTCCTGAGTATCTGGGGTTACAGGCACCTGTCCCCATGCCCGGCTAATTTTTGTCTTTTTAGTAGAGACGGGTGATCCCCAAAGGGGATTCACCTTGGGTATACTGCGTTAAAGGGAACTTTGAGACATCCAAACACTTAACATACGAACCTGAAGCTCCAAAGGGAGATGCAAGCATGGGGGCCGTTGGTGTATGGGAGGACGTCATGGGCATAGTGGGAATGGCCTGTGCTGAGTTTGTGGAGCGAAAACACAAGGCGGTCCAGGAGCAAGCCTGCAGGGATGCCCCATAAAAGGCTGCATGGAGCCCGGGCAACGCGGTGAAGTCCCATCTCTACCAAAAATACAAAATTAGCCAGGCGTGCTGGAGCATGCCTGTAGTCCCTCCTACTTGGGAGGCTGAAGTGGGAGGATGGCTTGAGCCTGGAAAGTGGAGGTTGCAGTGAGCTGAGATCACATCACTGCACTCCGGCCTGGGAGACAGAGCAAGACTCTGTCCCCAAAACAGCCACAACAACAAAAGCTGGATGGAAGAAGATGAGCCAGCACAGGACTGAGAAGCAGGCAGAGAGCTGGGAGGAAAACCAGAATATGGCGACACAGAACCCAAAGAAAGAAAGCGTTTCCGGATGGAAAGGAGAGTCAGCAGCATCAGCTCGTGCTGAACAACCACGTCCTGTGAGGACTGAAAAACATCCATTCGACTTGGTTTCAGGTCACTGTTGACCTTAGCGAGACAGCCAGCTGGAGGTACTTTTGCAGGATCAGTGGTGGTAATGGTAAGGCCAGCTTCGGGGCTGGATGCCAGATCGGAATGGATGGAGCAATGAAGTCAGGATACAAAGGGCCCCAATTTATTCTCCTACCCAGTGTCTTTCTCAACCCACACCTCTAATCCCAGCACTTCAGGAGGTCAAGCCACCCTCATTTGAGCCAAGAGTTTGCAACTGGCCTGGGCAATATGGTGAGACACCATTTCTAAAAAAAATAAAAACAAAATTAGCTAATCATCTTGCCACACTCCTGTGAGGCTGAGGTGAGAGGATCGCTTTAGTCAAGGAGGTCGAGGCTGCAGTGAGCCATGATCTCGGCACTCTAGCCTTGGCAACAGAGCAAGATCCTTTCTTTAAAAATAAAACAACAACACAAATGTAAGAAAGAACTTCTGCCTGTGGCAACAGTACCCCCAAATATCAAATCCTATAAAAAATAAATAGGCCCAGCACAGTGGCTCGTGCCTGTAATCCCAGCACTTTGGGAGGCCAAGGCGGGCAGATAGTTTGAGCTGAGGCATGCCAGATCACCCTAGGCAACATGGTGAAACCCCATCTCTACCAAAAAAGCAAAAATTAGCTGAGCGTGGTGGTGCGCACCCACAGCCCCAGCCGCTCAGGAGGCTGAGGAGAGAATCACCTGAGCCCAAGGGGTGGAGGCTGCAGTGAGCCATGATCGCAGCACTATACTCCAGCCTAGGTGACAGAGCGAGACCTTGTCTCAAAAATAAAATAAAAATAAACAAAGAGAGAAGTGGAAGAACAGGTGGAGTTTTGTATTTATGACTTGAATTTTGTTTCGTGACTGAGTTAACACTCACCCCAATCTACTCCATTTTTAGCCTTGAAACATGGCAAACAGGAACCATTACAAAGGCAGAAAAGAGAGGAAGGCATGGGTGGGAAACTGTGCCTCCCATGTTTGTGCATCTTTGTTGCTGTCGTTCCACCATACCGTACCTTTTAGCATTTTGACGGCAACCTGGATTGAGACTCCTGTTTTGCTAATTCCATAAGCTGTTGCGTTCATCACCTTTCCAAAAGCACCTGATCCTAGTACCTGCCCTGCAAAGATAAATGTGTGCATTTCAAAGATGTTTCCAGTGGAAAAGAAATGCTGCAGAGACATTTGGCACATTCCATTCTTACCAAACTCTAAATTTTCTCTTGGAAACTCCCATTTGAGATCATATTCATACTCTCTGAAATCCACATAGAAGTATTCATTATCTGAGGAGCCGGTCACCTGTACCATCTGCATCTGGCTTTCATACCTAAATTGCTTCAGAGATGAAATGATGAGTCAGTTAGGAATAGGCGGCTCTGCAGATAGAGGAAACAATAATGAATTTTTACCTTTGCTTTTACCTTTTTGTACTTGTGACAAATTAGCATGGTTAAAACAACAATGAAGAGGAGACAAAACCCGATTGTTGCGTAGAATGAGATGTCTTGGATGAAAGGGAAGGGGCCTGCAACAAAAGAGTGTCACTCAGAGAGGAAATAGAATCCCTGTGTGACGCATCACACCTATTAATAGGTTTAAAGGAAATATTGGTTGGCTGCTTGTTAATTATTTTCTTCCCTCATTTTTTTTTTTATGTCTCTATTACAAAACACAATTACAGGCATACCCATTTTTAGATTGCATTCTAGCCCGGGCAATAAAGCAACACCCCTGTTCTCTCTCCCTCATCCTTCCTTTCCTTCATTCTTTTTTTTTCTTTTTCTTTTTTTTTTATTCTCTTTCTTTCTCTCTTTTTTCCTCTGAAAACAAACAAACAAAAAAAAAAAAAAAGAAGATCTGGGTATAAGGTGAAAAAAAAAAAATACAAAATTAGCCAGGTGTGGTGGCACATGCCTGTAACCCCAGCTACTTGGGAGGCTAAGGCAGGAGAATTGCAAAAAAAAAAAAAAAAAAAGAATTCCTGTGTGACATTGTGAATAGCGGACAGCTCATTATAATCTCTCACATCCTGTTCTGGTAATAATCATTTTCAGTTCTCACAAGCACTCTGCATAGACTCTACTCCCCACAGACAACCAGGCAATGTCCCTGTAAAGGATACGTTTCCTTCCTAGAAAATTGCAAATTATTCTGAATCCATTCTTCGAAACCATTCACTAGGATTGCAAGAATTACCTCTGGGCTAGGCACAATGGCTCACGCCTGTAGTCCCCACACTTTGGGAGGCTGAGGTGGGGGGATCATTTGAGACAAGAATTAGAGACCAGCCTGGGCAACATGGCAAAACCCCGTTTCTACTAAAAATACAAAAATTAGCCAGGCATGGTGGCAGACACCTGTAAGCCCCGGTACTCGGGAGGCTGAGGCAGGAGAATCGCTTGAACCCTGGAGGCAGAGGTTACAGAGAGCCAAGATCACCACTGTACTCCAGCCTGAGCGACAGAGCGAGACTCCATCTCAAATGAAAAAAAAAAAAAAAAGAATTACATGGATTTAGACCTTTAAATCCATGGGATACACAAGTCAGAGAAAAAAAAGAAGCTCATATCCCTTTTATGAAGGTCTCACATGAAAGTGAAGAAGTCAGTTTTGGGAGGTTGGTGCTCCTAATTTTCAGGGTGGGCGGCCAGGTTTCAGAATTGTTTAACTTAGAAGGGCTCTAAAAAGCAAACCAAAGATTGTAAAACAGCATGCTAAGGGCAAATAAGGAGGCTAACCAAAAGGAAAATGACAGAGACTCCAAGTGATGAAATCTGCTTCTCTAGCATGAGATCCGTCCTTGGAGATTCACCACACTGGGAGTTTCTGCTTCTCCCCATCACTGTGAGTCACAAAGGCACAAGCAGAACTCTGCCCCAGCCTGCGAAACAGTCTGTCTGGGAATTCTTGCCTGACTCAAAAAACCTTTCCTCACGCACTGGCCCTAGAGTGTCCTGTAAAATTCCCCAAGTAAAAGTGAGCGACGGGGACGAACTTCTAGTGGGGAATTCCTGATGGCGAAGTATTACAATAGCAACTGTTGTACCTGGGGAGTTTAAAAGGATCGTCTCACAAGACGTGCCAAGGGAATTGTATGCACAGCACTTGACCAGGAACCCTCTTAAGGCTTCACTCACGTTGAGAGTACTGCTCGACACCCACTGTCCAAACACTTTCCTGTTAGCCCTTCCATTCCATACTCCTTCTGTGATCTCTTCTGTGCAGCTGGAAAAAAAAAAAATGGCAGAGAAGTTAGACAGGTGAGCTGTCATCAGACTGGAAGTTGGGGTTTCTGCAGCGAGTTCTGAAACAGATTCATGCCAGGAGCCGTGGCTCACGCCTATAATCCCAGCACTTTGGGAGGCTGAGGCGGGCAGATCACAAGGTCAAGAGATGGATACCATCTTGGCCAACATGGTGAAACCCCGTCTCTACTAAAAATACAAAAATTAACTGGACATGGTGGCACGAGCCTGTAGTCCCAGCTACTAGGGAGGCTGAGGCAGGAGAATTGCTTGAACCCGGGAGGGGGAGGTTGCAGTGAGCCGAGATCGCGCCACCGCACTCCAGCCTGG